CCTTCCCCAAATTGGTGGCCTTTAGGGGCATTTGGACTGCAACTCCCAGAATTCCCATCCAGCAGGGCCATTGACTGGAAATTCTGGGTGTTGCAGTCCAACCAAGTCTGAAAGGCGCAAGATTGGGAAAGGCTGGCCGAGACCACACTGTTAGAAAGTAAAGACACCATGCTTCAAATTCTATTTGTTTTGCTAAAGTTCCTCTTGGTCTTTGCCAGTTTCTTCCTTTCTGCTCATAGGAGTTGCAGGACTGACTAGGTAGCCACCAACCATATGATACAATCTTTCTGCCTGTCAAACAGAAGATTTAATTAGCCATTTCTCATTTAAAACTGACCATTGGCAGATATACTGAGCACTTTTCCACATGAGGCATTTTATTATACACTGATCATTCCTTATCTATGGCTGTTTATGTGTTCTGTTTAGATGACAGCATAAGCCCCCGGTTCCATTTCTGAATTGTAAGAGCACTCTCTGGGAAAAATGAGTTGGAAAATGGAGCATTATTTCTGAACACAAAAGAAAGCATATTTTCCTACTTGTGTGATCAAATTATTCCACTACAGGTTATTACCACCTAGGCATTAAGCAGTGGAAAAGCAGGAATGAAGGCTGTTAATCGATTTTATCTACTTTCCATTTCATTGCTGAACTGAGACCTACTAAGACCTACAAACCACTGCAAAAAAACTTTTTTCAACTTTTCCACTATAGAACCTCTAGGTGGCACTGTGGTATAGCAGAATAGCACAATTACATAGCTGGAAAAGTATTTTCTTTTACTTTTAAACATAATACCATGTTTTCCATGCTCTAAAAAATCCTTGCTAAACATGCTGTTTAAAAACAGAAGTAAAACTGAAAGGTTGTGATGTTGCCCAAAGAACCAATAAACAACCATGAATAGGGATTTATGAACACACAATAAATCTTTTGTATATTAAAACTTTTTGTACAGAATTCATCTCAGTCCTGTTGCAAACCTTAAAGTAGATACAATTAACTGCCTTCTGTAAAAATGTTCTAGTGGTTAATATGAATGCAAGTGCTCAGGTTTATTTTTCTGGGATGTGATATTTTGAAGATCTAGCAGGCCAAATTAGACAAAACAGTGGAGATCTAGGAACATATTCCCAATCACCTTACATTTTGCAGAACAAACTGTGGCTCTGCCCATTTGGATCAGGACTACAGTGTTGGGAATGAAGATCACAGCAAGAACCTTGCTAGATCAAATCAAAGACCACTTTATTGACAGTAACTAATCGGAAAGGGAACATACCCTGATGGTTTAATGAATGGACCTGGTTGGGCATGAAATTTTAGGTAACAGGAAAATCTGTGAATGCATCTAATCACTCAGGGGCAGTTGATATGACAGTTTGTTTCCCTTTTCCTTCCCTTCTTCAGCAAATGCAAGATACAACTGTATTATTCCCAATTACCAGAAGAATATTTTCCACAAAGTTTTTGCTATCTCATGCTAAAAACTGAAAGTCAGTAAGTAGATGACTCCCAAACTGGCCCCAAATCTGCCATCCCTGTCAAAGAATACTTTATGTTGGCTGAGCATGGAAGTCAGTGGCCATAATCCAATCCAAAAGCAATCCAGTGTCCAATACATTTCAGTGGAATGTATGCCTAACAGTATATGAGACCGTGAGACAGTTTAGTCAGTAGCTAAAAAGTTTGCCAGACTGCTATAATGATCTGGAATATGTGAGTGTCCCATGGTGTTACAGTCTTATACGAGTACATAACAAGTGAGAGCAACAAGAAACCGTGCAGCATCTCCTCACTTCCTAACAAAAGGCTATTTCACACTCTCCTCTCCCTGTCTTCTTTCTTTCTAATCAGCATTCAACATTCCACAGTCCTTCAGCACGCTCTTTGTGGGCAGTTTAGGATTTTTCTGCCCCTTTATTTTTTTAAGGTTATTCTTATATTTCTGCAAACCACAGGCTCTCCTGAATGGGCTGATACCTCCCTCTTCTTTCTCAGTGGGCTCATTTTGGCTTCAGTCTTGTCAACACTTCCCGCCTACATCTGCTCTTAGGAGGAGGCATGGAACTTGTTCATTGCTGGGCAAAGCAAGTGTACGAGCTGTGAACTCTTTCTAGAATCTTGTTTTAACTGATTTTAGTTGTAGTCTTCTACCCTTAACTCAGAATAAATCCTATGGAACTTACTTTGGTGTAGACACTTACAGGTTCCATCATTATTTAAAGGAAGGACCATTTGAAACTATGCTTTTAAAGCTGTAGTTTCTATGCATTCTGATTTCCACTCTGTTGCTGACTGTGTCACCCTTGTGAGGATGAATTCATGTTGGTCATTGCTGCAGGTGCACGCTTCTGGACTTTGCTCACTGAAAAATACAAACTTATCTGGAAATGAAGTATAGTGAAAGCAACTGACATTAACATTTATCCAGCTACCTTCCTCAGATGCTAAATAAATGACGTTCCTTGGCCAGACAGCTCTCCACACAGGTTTTGAACTTTGTTATTCTTACAAATATAAATAGAAGCCAGCTCTTTTGCGCTTGCAGAGTGAGCTGGAAAGCACACGGCACTTCTACAGGAAACAGTGCTAGATTTTCTGCACCCTTCTGTTGCCTCAGAAAGCCATGCCAATGGATTCGTTCCCATTGGTTCAAGAGAATACGACTGCAGATGTTCCACATCCTTTTTCCCATGCAGTGCGGGTTCCAGCCTGTAAGCAATTTGGATGGAACAGCTGTCCAGTGGGAAAACAAGGTGGCTCTTGTGCAAATGGGAAGTGTAAGGACTGAGATGCTGAGTGAAGGGGAAAGGGCAATATTTAGCATTCCGAAAGTTTTAACTGCACCTCATGAAGTGGGTACATTTGGCTAAGCTCCTGGTCCAGTTATGAGCTAATATAAATTGCCCTGGCTCCATTGACTTGTATATCAGTAAATGTCGGCCTGATTGGATAACAGATGTTTTGGTCCCCTCACTCATGTGTGATTCAGTTTGTGAATATTTGCATAAACATTTATTTGGTCACACAGATGTTCAGCAAATGTTCGTATTCATTTATGGATGAAGAAGTGATACATATCCATACTAATCTGCATGGGATTGAAATAAACTGAGCATTTATCATTTGCAATTGGCACATGGATGACAGAAAACATGGACTCAAATCTGTGAAGTGCCTGCAGTAGGTGCCTGACCCACTAGAAATTTGCCAGACATGAAGATGATAAATAGCCCTTTGTAGCCTATGAGCTTCCCTGCGCAAAACATGAATTGGGCTTTCATTATCTCTCACCCATGGAAGTTTACATGGCCTTTTCACAATGTTGTCATCCTCCAAAGCCTCTCCCATGTTTTCCAGCATTTTAATGATTTGTTTGTTTGTTTAGAGGAAGGAAAGGCTGGTATTAAATCTCAAATTGGAACAAATTGCAAATCAAAGCCTCATGTATTACTGCTGATTTGCTATAGTGCAGCTTTGCAGCACTGCTTTGTGGTTAATATATAGAAAGGCAGAGAAATACAAACCTCAGGAGAAAAGTCCACATTCAGGATGCATTTTCCCCCCAGTAACAAAAATGGAAGAAGATGCCCTAATAAAGGGGTGGCTTGAGCTCCTTATGTAGACAAGCTCTAGGGAAACAGACATCCAGTTTGATTGGTCTGCAAATGATTACTTCCACCAAGATTGGTTAGAGAATACATGAAACAGTTCTGATTCAGCAGTTGCAGGCTCCTTGTTCAGCTACATATGCACTGGGACTGGCAGCTATTTTTATCTTGTTCATCTGCGATCTGCATTTAGGGTTGACCAACCAGGAGGCCACTGTAGGAAGAGCATAATGGACTAGCTAGGCCTTTGGATTGATGCAGAAGGGCTGCTCTTATCTTCTTATGTAGAGTCCTTTCTTGGTGTTTCCAGATCAGTTTAACAGGACATGCCTGAGTACCTTTGCATTGCAATATGTGTGTTTACGGTGGGCTCTTAACTTGAAAATAAATGTCATTGAAATGTATGAAATGGCACCACTGCCCTTTCCCATTCATGGTATGCCCTGTGTATTTGCATACAGGGCATACAGTGGGGGAATTTCACACCATGCCATCTTCAACTTATAACCTTACCATATTTGCCTACTACTTCTTCCATTTTACTCTCACTACTTCTGTTAAAGGCAGCATAGGAGCCCCGTGTCTTCCGATTGCTAGCATGAGAAGCCATCTGGCTGGAAGCACCTCAAGTCACCATGAGCATTTCAAATCCAGTAAAGTTTGAGTGTGCTTTTTATGGGTCCTACACCTGCCATTGTTTTCTAGACTCCCCCCCCCATTTCTCCTTGTTTCATGCACCCCACCCCCCAAAGGGGAATCTGTTGCATAAGAGAAGATACAAGAGCTGCACACTGCCTTTTGACTCTTGGCACCAGGAACCCTTTATCTGCAAGCTCCTTTAAGGTGCAATCCTATACGAGTTTAGACAGAAACAAAGTCCTACAAGCCTCTGCATCCCTCGGCTGGACATTTTTTCTTTATAAAAATGCAGAGGGCAGCATCCTGAATGCAACAGCCACGTTTGTATCTTCTGCATTTCCCATCACTTCTTGCAGCTCTTCCGCCGCTCACTCCCATCCGAGTGCCTGACTATTTAGGCGAACCGTTCATTCGATGAAATGGACAGCGGACCAAGCATCTATCTGCCTTACTGTTGTTGTTACTCTTTAGGATACCCCCAAGTCGTGTGTGTGTGAGAGAGTGAATTTGGGCCACATCCGGAGGGCGTCCTGGTGGAAGTGCTCGCAAACAGCTCGGAGAGGCGTACCCGAAGGGCCGCGCCCGGGGCAGCGCGACGGCCCGCCGCCCCGTCCCCGCGCCGGCTCGCTCGGGGCGTCTTCGCAATCGGATCAGAGCAGACCGACTTCACTCCTCCCAGGGAGACGTCGGCGCATGCGCGGAGAGACCTGGCGATTTAAAAGGCGGTTAGAGCGAGACTCTGGTTGGTACGGCGTTCACGTATAAATCGCGGCGCGGCGGGTGAAGCGCAGTGGCAGCTTCGCTTGCGAAGGAGACCTGCAGCCTGCTGCGCCCCTTTTCCAGGTACTCAACGAGCACGTGCGCGCCAGTTTTTCGGAGGCCGCCCGCCTCTGCCAAGTCAACGAGCAATTTTCCACTCTTTCTTTCTTTCTTTCTTTCTTTCTTTCTTTCTTTCTTTCTTTCTTTCTTTCGTTGTACATCCTCCTGCCTAGACTTGTAGTTTTCTCTACCCGTGAGTCCAACCAACCTCTCCTTCAGGTGATGTGATCCGCTAGGCAATGGGCTGGTGCCCCGGGAGATGCCACTGCAAATGAGCGCAGCGCCGCTTTTGCTTCTTGCCCCTAGTCGCCCCCGCTCCTGCCCCTGAAAAGGCCGGCGAAGCCTGCGTTTGGTCCCCCCGGGGATCCCGCGGACCGCAGCCTGCGGGCTCGAATCATGGGGTGCGGGAGCAGACGGTCCTCGTACTCCCCACGCTCCGGCTTGCGGGTCCGGGGGCCGGCCGGCCGGCAAGACGGGCACGCGGGAGGATTTGCGGCGCTGGAGCGCGCGCCGCTACGAGGGAAAACTTCTCTTAGGCTTGCTCGGCGTCATCTCGGAGCCCTCTTGGGAAGTCGCTGGCTTTCTCCCGGTCAGGTTTTCGTCTCCGGAAAAAAGGGGGTGGGGGAGGAGGCATGAGTCACGTATTTAATCGCTAGTGTATTTATTCTGGTTGAACTCGTGGCAGTCTTCACCGGCGGCCGGGTGGCCGCTGCAAGACTCCTTGCTTCACTTCTCCGGTTTCCTGGCTGCCGTTCACCTGGGGCAGGTCTGGAGAGCCCTTCGGTGGCAGCGCGGAGGAGTCGCGGGCGGAGGAACGGATGGTTTTCCCCTCGGCCGCTGTGCGGTACCCCAGGACGCGCCGCCGGGCTGTGGGTGGAGGCAGGAATTCGCATTTGCCCCGAAAAAGAGCCACCGTCGGTCGCCTCGTCTTCGCAAAGTCGCGCTCGCTGCCTCTGCCTTCCACTTCTTTCGGGGTACGTGCGCTGCCATTGGCTCCGCTAATCTAAACAAGGAGTCAGGCTTCTGAATGGAAGCTTGTCAGTGGCTAACTGTACATAGCAGCGCATAGATTCAGATTCAAGCTTGACACAGTCCAGTTGTTGGCTGCCCGGTGCCGCACAACAAAATACTTCTGAGTAGCTTTCTTGTGCCAGGGGAAAAGCTACAGATCCTCCCTTCAGTCTCTCTTGCAGAGCATCCACTCATGCCTCCTGCTGTTAAAAGTTTCTGGAAGTGGACTGGCTGCCCATTGGTTTTTAGAAAGGCTTCTGAGCATGATACTTATTTTATTTTATTTAATTTATATATTTGTAGCCCAATTTTTTCTTCAGTAAACTCAAGACAGCATACATAATCCCCCTCCACACCACTTTATCATCACAACAACCTTGTGAAATAGGTTAAGGTGAGAGTTGGTGAGCTGGTTTTAAAATTCCAGATTTTGTGGGCTTTAAAATCCCAGCAGTTGTTCTTGCTTTTAATCAATTTTATAGACCTAAACTAAAGTGCTGGTTTTAGCTTTTAAAGCCCTTAAATGGCTGTATGTTACCTGAAAAGTCATCTTCTCTAAGTGTATCCACTCAAACCTTAAAATCATTTTCAGTGGCCCTGTACCAAATTCCCCCTGGAGAAATGAATGTGAAGGTTTCAAGGGAAAAAGTCTTTTTGGTGGTAGCACCCTGATTATGGACCAGCCTTTTCAGAGAAGTCATTTGGAGCAGTTACTGTTCTTTTTCTTGCCAAGTGAAGGTCTTACCCACTCAGACTTTTTAAATAACACACATTATTTTGCTGTGGATGCACATGGCGTAAGGTTTGGTGATTTGTAAATATGTTTTAGTCAATCTTTTAATATTGTGTTTACTTAGTTTTTGGAGGTGCCCAGCTTCACAGGCAGCAATATTAATTAAGAGGTAAATAGAATAGTTTAATTGCCCGCAGTACCTTTGGGTGCCTCTGTCAAGGGCAATGTCAGAAATTTAAATGGCAGCTAGATTCAGCAGCCTAACACTGCTTTAAGCACTGGGCTGAGATGTTTTTTAAAGGGGTGGCAGGGTATGTGTCAGCGGTTGGCCCTGCCAGGATCCTGGGGCCATGGCAGCTGGCTCGAGATGCCAGGTGCTGACGCCAGTTTCATGTTGAACTAAAATAACATCACTTACTATTTCAGGCTGCGTTAGATGACAAATTTTCCCACTACATTTTTGGCAGCTTTGGCATTATGTATGGAATGGAGTGTACCATGTGCAAGGCACCCTTGTGAGCATGTGTTTGGCAGGGGACTCTAGAAACATGCTGTATACCTACTGGCTGAACAGTCACCCCACATACAGACACACTTTCACAAAATCAGATTCAGTGTGCTTCCCAATATGCAGAGCTTGCTGTGTGTTGGGAAAGTTAGACATGCAAATTGACTGTCTCAGGTAGGTGCTTACCAGTGTTTCTCTCTCAAACACAAAGGTCCATTAAGGATTTCCTAGGGCTGAATCCAATTTTACGCTAGCTGAAGTTCAATTAACTGCAATGAGTCTACTCTAAGTAGGGTGTCTTTATGTAGTTGAAATTTATTTTTAGGTTGGATACAATAATATCCACTATGACAATATGGAATGTTCACCATGTCATCTTATTAACATCCTTTTCAGAACAGCTGATTAAACCATTTTTGTGTAATTTCTTCTACTTACATGGACAATCAGGAGGCAGCTGTTCTCTAACTTTTTGGCATTGGCCAGTTGTTGACTGTAGAAAACAAGTAATAATTCAGTTGTTTCTTTTTAAATTGGATTAACCTGGTGTATACAAACAGCATACAGGCTTTTGTGCTTCACATAGTCCTTTGTTAACTCTGCCCGCTGAATAGGCTTGTATAAATCAAGTTTGCACACTCCTGTATCAGCAGAAGTTAATCCAATAAGAGCTATTGCCTTGGTTTTCTTATTTTTCTAGCTTTGGGGAGACTGAATAATGGATTCTAAGTAGCTCTAAGCCCTTATGACAGCATAAGATATAACCCCAGTGTTTTAGTTGGGATTATCTGAGATATGGAGCACCTGCTAACGCAAGTCTGTAGCAGTCGTTTAGTGCAATGATAATGGAAAGTGCAAATATTTGAGTAATGAGCAGGCTTAGATTTTCTCAAGTGCGTTCATCTCAGAACCAGTGCACTGATGCTCTTTCTAGGCTCCCGCATAACTTAACTTCCTTTGCAGCTCTTTAAGTGTGTAGTTCCCCTTTTCTTATGTGTGATGTACATAAATTCTTGGAAACTTCAGTAGGCTGATTAATGCCTGGAGCACCCGATGTGCTGTGCTGTGAGGAACAAATGCACCAGTTACTAACATAAAAGGAATCATGAATGCTGCATCAACACTGCTGTGTGGCTTAGTGGCACACAGGATGTTGATGTGCTTTTTCCACATGTGATGCTGCCCTCCTTTTTCCATAGAAGAACTTTATATAGCAACCAACAGTTTTTTCTTTGTTTAAATTCTGTGAGTATATGCGAAGCATGACACTTTATTTCAGAGGCTAATTCATGTCCATTGTGAATGCACACATGTATATATAACTGGGCGCGGGGAAAGAAGTACCACAGAGGAAAGGAATATTTGTAAAACATGATCAAACCAAGATTACATTCTTATGAATTAGTGGTTCATAAGAAAGAGGGTGAAAGAGTATGGATGCTTCTTCAAGCAGTCTCACTAACTTTGGAAAAAGTTATGTTTCCAAAGAAGCTATATTAGTAGCATGCAAGTTGAAAACCAAGAGAATTCCACATGTCAGCATGGCTATGCTAAGTGTTGTAGTAAGTCATTGGGTTGAAGTTACATTAACATGTTCTAGATCAGCCTTCTTCATGAAACTTCAGATGTTTCAACTACAACTCCCATCATGCCCCAACCAGCATGTCCAGTGGTCAAGGAAGTAGGCAGTACAGGGCACTAGGTTGGGGAAGACTGTTTTAGGGTACAAATCCTATGTGTGTGTTTTTCCATAAAAAGAAGATCTACAATTCCCAGCATTCACCAGCCAGCCATGCTGGGGAACTGTAGGACTTCTTTCTGTTGTAACATGTCTAGGACTGTAACTCTCCATTCTGTTCATTATGTATCCAGAAAATGTGATGAAAAGCAAGACACAATATGTATGTACTGGGATAATTAGACTATTACAGTCAGGGATTTCTCTGCCGTGAGGTAGGATGAGACCCTTGCCTCAGGCAGTAGATTGGGCCAATAGCTCCTGCCCAGAATGGCAGCCACCCTTCATCCTTCCTTCTTCCATCAGCCTGGGACCATTCACCATATTTGTGGCTGATTAGACTCTCTTGAGCACCCAGGCTGCCTCATGTCCTGCTGTGAGGAAGGGGTCCTTTCTCAGAATTATGTACTGTGGGTGCAGTATTCCTGGGGACTGCCTGTACCCTTCCTCAGAGGGATGCTTTGGTGGCTGAATGAGCCACCCTGCTGCCAGCAATGCAGGGGGCAGGGCATCCTCCCTCAGGCAGAAAATGTTTTGCACTGGCCCTGACTACAGTGGTTCCAGTATGATCAAAGTCTCCTTCTGTACCATATATGGCAGAGCGGTTAATGCAGCCCCACCTGTTTCCAACTCCTGCATTCTGTTACTGCTGTTGCGTCCAAGAAAAAAAAGGTAAACAACTTTAATAACCATGAAAAGCTTTATGACTTACCCGCGAAGCAATCATTTTATCCAGAGCAAAGTCTGCAGCTGTATAGCAGAGATTTATCAAGGTGGCCAATCTCTGGACAGTTCAGCAATCTGAAATACCATATTCTAGCATGACATTTAAGGAAAGCTGGTTTTAAGATAAAGAACATTAGCACTGGCCTTAAAATCTGAAACACTTCTTGTGTTCTGACAATACTAAACAAACAAACAAGCTGCCTTGTCCATTGGGTATGTAAATAGCTTTATTAAATCAAACACAGATGAATACTTTCATCAGGCTGCTTTGTCTGCTCTGCTCTGGAATTTTGTCTGCTTGCTTCCTG